TGTGGCCCAAAGGCGAAACGAAACAAAAGTGCAAAGCAGCCATAAACAGCAGACATGCTTATTTATTATACACATATTTACATGTATTTGTGTATATGTGTTTTTGGAACTGCATAAATCAACTTCCAAAAACAAAACAGAAAAAAAAACTCAACTGGCCCAAGCATTTGATATTGTTTTGGTTCATCAAACGTTTGCGCTCTCCTTCGCGCTCTCTTTTGCTCTCTCACTTTTTGTTTGTTTACAGCTTGCATAATCTCCGTTAAAAAGTCCAGTATTGCAAAATCTGGTTTAGTGCCAACTTGCCTGTTGCTCTCTCCATTTCGCTCACTGTGCAGGAGAGCAAGGCAGGAAAAGAGAGAGTGAGAGAGAGCTTTGGCCACGCTCTCATTCGTTACTCTTGCTGCTTATGCAATTTTCGCATTTTTGCTGCGCACCCCTCCCCTCTCCCCCCAAACGCATCAAAGTGAAACTTTAATTGGAATTTAGGCTCTTCTCCCCCCTCCCTGTGCAAGCATCACTTAACGGGCAGATCGCTTCACCCAAAATGCGGCAGCAGCAAACCGGACACAAAGTAGGCGCCGGTCCACCGCCACGCATTCGCACCGGGGACGACCTGTGCCCTAGCAAAAATTGAGCTTCAAGGAACGGTTGGTCCGTCCCTCTGCCTAGAAGCCAAACTGCCAAGCGATTAGCAAGGCCTATTGGTTTTCCTTACTCATAATGTTTTGGCACGATTTGTGTAGTGTTGCCAACGCGCGAGTCTTGTGCGCCGCGTCAGAACCGTTTGTGAATTTTAAGGGTTGCAAAACGTTAAAATTCCCAACGGCAGCGCATCGCCGTGTCGACTCGCGCCTTTGCTTGATTCGTTTAAATAAATACAAATTGTTTTTCTCGTTTCTGCTTCTTGCCACTAAATTGCTGCAGCATCTAGATATAGTTGGATTTAACATAGTTGCGAATTAAACGTTTCCACTTGAAATAAAAGCGGCGCACAGCGAGCAGCATACGCAGCCTAATTGTCCATTAAGCGCCTCGTGTCTGCGTCTCCGTGCTCTCTTAACGCTGACAATTTTAGCACTACGATATGTATATAATATATATACTATAGACAATGTCTGGAAATCATGCATATCAAGCAACATTTTTTGCACGCCTCAATTAATCCGAAACGCAGCAGCTATGATTGTTTCTGATGCCCCACGACAGTTATAATCTTTATTAGTGTTGAGTGATGCTTGAGCAAAATCTCTAATTAACGTTATCGATAACACAAGTACTGTTATAAACTTAAGACCAAGTCGTAAACTGTACGCAAAATTGACATTTTGTGCAGACTTTGATCGAAAAGAAAAAAACAATTTGTCAGCTTGTGGGGAAATTGATGATAGTTGATCTTTTTTGCTAAGCTTTATGCACTTGCTGTTTGGCTATTTATTTATTGTTGTATATATTTTTATACAAATAGAGGGGCCTTTCAATTCGCATTCACTTTTTTCTTCTATGAGCCAACAGCTTGTGCCACCTTTCGACCCAACAAGTCAAGCTGTCTAATTTTATTATACATATATGAATAAACATTTAACACGCCACATTCCGCGTACACCGTCATCGGTTATCGTCTTTTTTTTTTTTTTTTTTTTTTTAGCCAGACATTATATAGTGATTTTTATGACTAATTCTGGCGTGATAAGGTTTCCACTTTGTTTTTTTTGTTTTTTTTTCTGTTAAGAAATATTTATTGAACTTGTATTTGTATTGCATTTGACGAAATGCGAGCTGAGTCGTTGACTGATATGCATTATTCTTCAGTTGATTCCCAAATCCATAGAAAATGGTTTGAAAAGTGGAAGTTGAGGCTTGTCCGAACCCATAAAGTTGCTTCTGATAACTTACAAGAACTCAAGAGTTCGCATTTGATGCTCGTATGTTACACACATATTAAGAATATCTTACTTTTTGTATAGCTTTAAACCTTTCGCTTGAAAATGAACAAATACTAATTTTAGTAGCTAAGCTCTTGGTCTTTGGTATTTACGCACATTTGGCTACCATATAAATTCCCTGAAAGTTTCATGAAGATCGGACAATAAAATCCGAAGTTAACCTAGTTACGAAAGCATTTTCTATAGGGTTGATTCCATGAGGGAAAAAAGAGCACAACTGCAGCTGCTTAAGCTGTTATATTACAGGGTAACTGCTAGTTGCACACTCCCCATTATTAGTATCTCTTGTCGATTAATTGATTAATTGACTTAGTCATGTCGCTGTCAGACCCGGCACGCCCTTGAGTCATACTCCTTGCATGTCGACGCGGTGCTCGACGAATAAACAGATCACACATTAATTCGAAGCTCATTTGGAATGCAAAACATGTTCTCAGCCCGTGGAGCTTTAACGTAAAAGAAATTTAATTGTTTGTTATAAAAACATAAATTATTATGCCTAGCTATTTACAGCACGTGCCTCAGTTACATATATGATTCTATAGATCGTAATCCCTACAGTAATAAATGGTTCGTCTGATTGGAATCGATTAGTGCATTGTTCAAGTACTGTGATAAGATGTGGGCTCTAATTAGAAATTTGCACGATCATGTAATCGAAAGAGACACTGATCAAGGGAATCAATACCAAATTCTTCTCGGGCGATCGTGATATAATCCCTAAGATCTGCATGGACATTTGGATGATCAAGCTATAGAACTATACAATGATCCAGGGGGATTAGAATAATAATCTTCTGATCGGAAAGGTTTAGTTCTCGCAAGTTAAGATCTCTATAGAGACGATCAAGAACCAGAGGATCAGACTAATGCCAGCTAATACTTTTCTGTCGATCAGTTCTTTTACAATTGTTTCTTACAATTTAAGATCTGATCAAGGGGATCAATTTAATCCCAGCTGATTCTTTATCGTTAGATTCTTACAAGTTAAGATCTGTATGGAAATTTGCTAGATCAAGTAATCGGAAGACACAATGATCAAGAGAATCAAGTCATGCTAGCTGATTCCTATCTATCGATCAGTTTCCTAACGTTGAATTCTTACAAGATAAGATCTGACTAGGCATATAATACTTGATCTAGCTTATACAGATCTGAATTAGTAAGAGTCTAACGTTGGTCGATAGAGAAGAAATCTACCAGATCAAGTATCGATTACCAGATCTATACATAATGATCGAGAGGATCAATACCAGCTGCCTCTTTTCTATCGATCAGTTCCCCAATGTTTTAGTCTTGCAACTAAAATCCTATCAAGAGGATCAGTTTAATGCCAGCTGGAACTTCTCAATCGATCAGAGTCCTAACTTTAGATTATGAGGATCAGTTCTTCAAGGATGTACAGTTCCAGCGTTGATTCATGATCTGTCTGAAGGGATCTTCAAATGATCTTGCAGATCAGAATATATTTGAATATATAACTGCCTCCATATCAAAGCATCTCCATTGATCAGTTCTCCGCATGATCATGATCAGTTAATATTGATCAAGAACTTTACTTAGCCAGCCTCTAATCTGAACAGCTTGTCCTTCGTGAAGGGTATTATGTATGATCCGATCGAAACCCCTAAATTGCGTAATATTCTAGACATTTGTCGATTCTCGAATAATATTGGCAATGCAGCGTGTGATCTGATAACTGAATTGAGAATCTTGTGTCATCAGCCGGCTGCGTGTCAATCCCAAACGATTAGTCTGACATAGGTAAATAATATATACGCATATACATATATATGTCTAGACGTATATGTGGAGGGGCCTCGAGGCCTAACACTAAATTGGAGACTCGAGTCGAGCAAATTAAACTTGATCTCTGGCTAATGATAAACACTCGATAAATGCGATTGCCTTTGACTGACTGACAAATCATTTTGGCATTGTTTTTGTTGTTTCTCAGTTTTCACAAAACACTTCAACTTTGACGTCAGCCCCGCCCCTGCTGAACGCCCCGCCCTTAGCTAACTTTAAAGTTTGTTGATCTTTGCTTTTTGCAATGCAAATTTGCATACTCATAAACAGTCTGGAAAAAAAGCCAATCTATGACGAAGCGCCCAGACAAAACGACTCAGCAGCGCGACTTACGATTCGAGAATATTTCAGAAGTCGTCTTCCATTTCGAAAAAAGTCAATTTCCGAGGGATATTTCCAATGTCAGCAAATATTTAGTATACAACGTTTGCTTAAAAAAACATTCCATAAAGCTTCTACGACCAGGTGTATTATGATACAGCAAGCGGATGTTGTTGAGATTGTGCTAGGATCATAAAAAGTCAATTTTTGTCATGAAGCTAGATTGAAAATTGGATATATCGATAATTGGATATATCGATCATAGGATGTATCGATATTTTGATAATTTAATATAACGATAATTGGATGTTAATATACTACTATATTGATAATTCGGTATATCGATAATTTGGAATAGCGATAATTGTCTATATCGATAATTGGATAGCTGCATCGATAATTTGATTAAAACAATAATTGGGTATATCGATAATTCGACAGATCGATTAATGGATATATCGATAATTGGTTATATCAGTAATTGGCTGTGTTGATAAATTGATGTATCGATAGTTTGATTAAAACAATAATTGGGTATATCGATAATTGGATATATCGATCATTTAGATAAAATCGATAATTGCTATATTGATAAATAGATATATGAATAATTGGATGTGTCGATAATTTGATATATCGATCATTGGTATAAATCGATAATTGGCTATATCGATAATTGAGTATATCGATAGTTGGCTATATAGATAAATGGATATGTTGATAAATGAATATATCGATAATTGGATAGCTGCATCGATAATTTGATTAAAACAATAATTGGGTATATCGATAATTGGACAGATCGATAATTGGATATATCGATAATTGGATAATACAGAACATAAGTCGTAGATCTTAAAGCTTTCGTGCCCATGCTGTAAATTGCCTTAACTAATGCCCAAACGTCTTGTGTTATCTTTACAGATTTCAGTTACGTGGACCGCTGATCATATGGAACACGCTGCTGGCGATGTTCAGCATAATGGGCGCCGCTCGTACCGCGCCGGAACTGTTGCACGTGCTGCGTCATTACGGGCTATTCCATTCGGTCTGTGTGCCCAGGTGAGATTGGAATATTTTCGCAAGGTCAAAGCGTCAGTGCCAATAATAATAAAACCTGATTTTGCACAATCTCGTTCTGTTCCTTCCTCCCCCCGTCACCACACTCTCTCTCTCTCTCTCTCCTGTAGCTACATTGAACAAGATCGCGTGTGCGGTTTCTGGACCTGGCTCTTTGTGCTGAGCAAACTGCCCGAACTGGGCGATACGATATTCATAGTGTTGCGCAAACAGCCGCTGATCTTCCTGCACTGGTATCATCACATCACGGTGCTGATCTACTCGTGGTTCAGCTATACGGAATACACTAGTTCCGCACGCTGGTTCATAGTTATGAACTACTGTGTGCATTCGGTTATGTACAGCTATTATGCACTGAAGGCGGCCCGATTCAATCCGCCGCGATTCATCTCGATGATCATCACGTCGCTGCAGCTAACGCAAATGATAATTGGCTGTGCAATTAATGTGTGGGCAAACGGATTCCTGAAGACGCACGGCACACAATCGTGCAATATATCGCAGCGCAACATCAATCTATCGATCGCCATGTACTTCAGCTATTTTGTGCTGTTCGCGCGCTTCTTCTACAAGGCGTACCTGTCGCCCGGCGGACACAAGAGCCGGCGCATGGCCGCCTCCCTGGTTGCCCAGAATACAGCCAAGCTGGCCGATGGACCGACGGCATCCGTCTCCGAATCCAGTCTCTCTGGCAAATATGTGGGCGAGGATGCACAGGCTGCCTATATGCGCAAGGCCAAGGCGCAGTAGAGCTTTACCACAACCCCCCCTCCACACTACCCCCTCAGCAACCAACTAAAGGCTAAGGACATTTATTTATGCAGTACCGAGGTGTAAAAGTTGTTTTTTAATTTTAAAAAAAGGCCCGACACAAACAGCTCGAGCCAGACAGCAGACGCGCACACGAGGGGCGTTCGATAAATTTAATTTTAAGCATAGAGTTTTACCAGGCGGCTGGCTTACTAAAACAAACACAAATATATACATATACATAAAGCTATATATTATCGGATATATATGTTTATATAACGTCATGTACATAATGAAATCGAAATTCGAAGCGCAGCCCAATTCGATGAATGTTTTTGTAAAAAGTTAGCTATGGCATGTAAAAACCTTCTCGTCTGCCTATATATATATATATATATATATATATATATATATATAGTACTGTTTTTTTTTTTGATAGTGCAGTTTAAGCCCAAAGTTCTCTAGTTTTCATTTGTGCTCTAACTGTAAAAGGAAAAATAATATATATATATAGAAACATTCTCAAATTGAGTTCAGACCGCCGCTCAGTTATCCCTACGAATACTTACCCATATATATATATATATATGTATCTACCAATATGTATACACATATATATAACCTGTGTTGGCAAACGCGCATTTCTTTTTGGTATTTTCTTTGGTATTTTTTATGTAGCTGAAACTGATTTGTACTCGAAAAAAGGAAGTGGGAAAATGGATTAGTTTCCCCCAATCTAAAGCGCAAATTGTTAATGTAAAGTAAAAACCAAAACGAAACAAAACAAAACAAAAACTGTATTCAATAACTAATTTTGATAAAACGTGCAGGGGCGTGCATTTAGTTTGGATTTTTTATTTTTTGACATTTTTATGATCCAGAACAAAGTAATAAGAGACAAAAAAATAGAGAGAGAGAGGGAGAAGAAGAAGCAGCAGCAAACAGTCCTCGATGAACGTAACAAAGAAAACAAAGCAAATGTTTAAATTATATATTTATATTTGTAAGCAGAAGCGTTCAACAACAAGCTAAAAGTCCTACTTGAAAAGTTAATTTAGTCTAAACGATGCATGATAATGATAAATCAATAAAGAGAGAGAGAATGAGAGAAATGAGAAAGCTGCAGCAAAGCGGAATGCGCATGCGTAATCCTGCGAGCCAGTCAAAATGTGAACGAAATTCAACAAAAAACAAAAAAACAACAACAAAAGAAAATTAAGCGAACAAATTGAATTTTTTGTCGGGTAAAATGGTAATGAAAGAAAACAATTGATGAAAAGCTAAGAAAAACAACGGATAAATAAAATGTAACAAAGGAAAAAGGATACGGAAATGTCTTTTGTTTTATTCAGCTCCATTTTCAAATCCAATCAACTAGAATCACCCTGTGATGTGTAAGGGCGCTGTAAGTGAATTTTAACAGCGCTTAAGGTAAGTTACAGAATCCATTATTATTCCAATTGGCATTTAACATGCACCAAATTCAACCAGTTAACATAAATCCGTCTGAAGGCTCGCTAACATTTTATGGTAGAGGCAGGGAAATCTTAACAGCGCTTAAGCTAATGTATAACAGTTATGTTACAGAAACCACGATTAATCCAATTGGAATGTAAACATTACATTATTGAGCCAGTTAACATAAATAAGCGTGTGATGAGTCAGCTTTGATGCATGCTAACATTTTTTGGTAAAGCGCTGTTAGGGAAATTTTAACAGCGCTTAGGGTAATGTATAACAGCTGAATAACATAGCCCACTAGTAATCCAATTAGAATTTAAAATTAAGCTTTTGATTAAGTACCAAAATGTAAACTACACTGGCGCTTCTTAAAAGCTTATGCAACACTGTTCGCTCAAATATACAATAAATATTATTAGTGTAAGTACGGAATGTAAAAATGACAAAAAGCTTAAGGAAATTTAAAACGTCGACAGTACACGATTCTAGGGTTCGAACCTTGAACCTTGAAAAACTTTACTACCAAGAATTAATTTACTTCAGCGCTTATTCCTAGGCCTACAAATAGGTTCCATCTAGTTCCGATCTTTAAATTTTAATTCAGCTAAAAGCTATTGAAACTAATCAAAACTGAGCTCTAAGCTATATAATGCTCCAGTTCAAAGTTGACCCAGGTTCATAGATAATTTCTCTTTTATTTCCATTTAAAGTTTTCGATAATTTGGAAACGCGATTTGAATTTCACGTAAATGGGGAAAAAACATTTATTTTTTCTTTCGGAAAATGTTTTACTACACATACATGTATACATATACTATTAATTTTTTAAGTGTTTTTTTTTGTTTTTAGTTTTTTTAATTGCATAAATTTTACGCAAGGAAGTTAGTTCTCCAAAATGTGGCGATAGCAAAAGATCGCAATAATTTGTAATACTAGACTAGAAAATCTTGCTAAAATACTTATATCTTGTTTATAGATGTATTTGCTGTCTGTGTGTCCGTGTGTGTGTTAGTGTGTCTGTGTGTGTGTGAAACTAGGCATTATTATATAATATATGATAGATTACAAAAAGGATCGGCTAAGCTCTAAATTAGTACACATACATGGGCCTATGTATTTATGATGCATGCATATTTCTTATGAATGTTAAATGTAATTAATGTATTTTTTATTTTTTTTTGTCTTTTTTTTTAATGAGAACAACCACAAGATGAGCCTAAGTTTGATTGGGTTCAGAGTACGAGCAATATTTTTCGCTTATCTAAAGTTAGGATTCGGTTTCGATTGAAAGAACTTTTGTGTGTTTGTGTGTATATTCAATGGTTTTTCATTTAAATGCATAAACATTATGTATTCAATAAACAAAACAATAATTTATATATATATATATATATATATGCATGTATATTTTGTAAAATATGCCAAAATGAGCAAAACTAATAAACAAAACAATTTGTTCCAGCCATGAGCACAACATTTCAAGCTGTTTGCGACTCAATTTAATAATTATTATTTTAGCTGAGTTCAGTTTGTTGTTTGTGTACTTTTGTGCATTGTCCCTTGAGGTATGCGTGTGTGTTTGTTGTTGTTGTTTTTTTTTTGTTTATGCCAATATTGAATTACAATGTTTGAATTTTTGTCAGCAAAATAAAAGAAAAAGCAAATGTGGCAAAGAATTTAATGCGTTTTGTTGTTGTTTGGCGCTCATGTGTGTTTGCTTGGATTGATTGTGGTTGTTGTAGATATTAACTCGTTCATTCTCCTCGTGATTTTGTTTGTGTTTAGCTGCTAACCCGATTTTGTTTGGTGCGACAGCCTCCCGGATAGTGCTTCATTTGCGCCTGCTGCTGCTGACGGTGCTCCAGCCAGACTCCGGTTGTTGCTGGTGTCTGGCATTTTTGTGATTTAGAGGCGGAGCGACCACAACAGTGGACGCAGCAGCATCATCTCACTTTTTACCGGGAGGCGCTATTGGTTGGCCGCGCTCCTTGCCACGTAATTTTATGCCAAGCACACGCTCCATTTTGCCAAGTATCAAATTATTGGGTATGCCGCGTCCGGCTTCATAGTCGGTAACCACCTGCTGTTTCTCGCAGATTTTCTGAAAAACAATAACGAAAATATGCAATTATCATTGATATTGTTGGCTATTTCAGTTTTACCGTGGCCAAATCCTTTTGGCTCATATTCTTGCCCTGGCGACCCTGCTGAATCAGTTTGCCCACATCGAGCGGAATCTTGTCGTGCCGCAATTCCTCAGTCTCGCGATCCAGCTTGGCAGTGTTCTTCGTGGTCACATGCTGCTTGTTGGTGCCAGCACCATCTGCAATTAAATCAACAAATAAGCCAAATCACAAAACGCAACCAATCAATGCCAAATGCCATACAGTGAAGGCTCGCTTGAGCGCACCCTGAACCCATTTCAAATTGGGTGACAAGGTTTTAATTGTTCTATGCAAATGTCTGTAACAGGTGGAAGGAAACTTAACTATCTACAGGTAAGTTAACTACCTCATCTCTCTGTCTGTTCGTCTGTAAGAACACGTCGATCTCACTCTCCCTCTCTCTCTCTCTCTCTCTCTTGTTGCGCGCGCAGATCAAGTCTGTTTCAAAGCTTCGATAAATCGCTAATAATCGTTATCGAATTCCTGTTTTTTGAGCTTATAAGAGCTTATAGAACTAGACAAGTCCAGAAGAGTACATCTGTTAGATACTTTCCGCCCGTACAATTATGAAAACTCATTTTTGGCGGCGTTTTTTGGTATTTGCACACATTTGTTTGCCATAAACATGCCCTGAAAAATGCATAAAGATCGGACAATAAATACCGAAGTAAATCAACAAGACATTTCTCATAGTGAGGGGCCAAGGGACGATGCAGCTAGAGGAGTGTGTGTGTGTGTGACAGGGTTCAGGGTATCTCCCAGTCGGCTACTCCCGACCAGAGCACTCTTACTTATGTCTTTTTCGTCCTGCTAGAGCAGCACAAATTCCATTTATTTATATACGATAAAGCGGCTGAACCTAAACCTGAACCTGAATATAAAAAATTAACTTATTCGGATAAATAAAATTGTTAAAATAAAAAATAATAACATATTATTATATTTTGTGAGCAACACGTGAACAAAAAATAGGAACAGGCTCACGAAATGAACCTTAACGTGAGGCATTGGTTCAAACTGTGAACCGAACCAGCAGGCTTTACAGTTTGCAGTCTTAATATGAAAATTGAGTCAATCAAATTGTTGCATAGTAAAATTTAGGTTTAAAAATAGCACGAATTATTGTATCAAATATTTGTGATGATATACAATTTCTTGATCAAAATAAATGTAGGAATATATTGTTATTGAATAATTGGGCTGCTGCAGATGGCCGCAAGAGCCAGCTGTTCGTTAATTGGAGCTTTCACTGTATTCAGTTAGTAGGTCAGCTCTAGACGTGAGCTAAAATGGCCGGCATTAGTGTTGAGAGTAGTCGGAAAGCTTTCGAAAGGTTGTGAAAATGCAAAAAGTGTTGCGAAATTATATCAAACACACACATGTACCACACACATATGTATGCACTCACACAGGCATACACTCCCGACACAACTAAGCCGCCGAAAACAACAACAAAACGCCACGCCATACACATGGGATTGATTGCAGCTGCGCCGCCCCTTCCCCCTCCCCACATAGCACACAGACCGCAGGCAAATTTTAGAAGAGCCGCCGTCATTTATTTTACTCACATTTTTGCTGGGTATCGACGGCAACACCTTGGCGGCGTGCATTGTTCACAGCT